AACTGTTGAATATTTTTGTTTTCTTTGCGCACAAAAAGTATTCTCGTAGCTTCATAAGATTACGGTTGAACCACTGATGTGTCACATGGACTATTTTAACAATGTCCTTACCACCTTTCTGGACCTTGAACGTGTCAGTTGCGTTGCTGTCTATGGAGGGTCAGAAAGCTCTTGGATTTCATCTAAAATATCTTAATTTGTGTTCTGAAGATGAACGAAGGTCTAACAGGTCCGGGATGACATGAGGATGAGTAATTAATGACAGAATTTCCATTTTTGGGTGAACATTTAAAAAAATACTGAAAATTTTCAGAGGTGGATTTTTAATTAAATCTTACATCTTGATATGAATAGAGCTTATTTAAAGGGGTGGTTGATTGCGATTTCAGTTTTTTAATGTTAGTTAATGTGTAATGTTGCTGTTTGAGCATGAACAATATCTGCAAACAATATCTGCAGCGTTGTAATACAAACCGAGATATTGTCTTTTAAAATTATGGCAGTTTAATGCCTACAAAAACGGCTGGCAGGGACTACAACGAGCTACTTCCCGGGTTTGTGACGTCACAAACTCTGATAAACCCCGGCCCCAGCAACATGCAACAAAGGGGGTGAGGCCATGTTGCGCTGCTTTAGAGAAGTGGAAGAATTGTTGCATTTACAAATAACAGCGTATCTAAAAGTATGAGACAACCAGAGCGCATGCCACCGAGCTGAGGAGCGTGACATTTAGACGCGCACTAGGCGGTTTAGCGAACCACAACACACTGGGTCAGCTAACCAATCTGAGGGAGGGGCTTCATAAAAACAGGAAGTCTTTGGAACATTCAAAGGAGAAGGGACAGAGCGGTGTAGAATAAAGGTAAATTATGTGAAAAATATTGTTTTTTTTAAACGAAGCATTAACACGTTAGACCCTCTCTGAGGGTTGTCCCCCCTAAAAATATGATTAAAAACCAGTCTGTGTATTGTAAATAACAATGTTTTATACTTTAAATAATTGTGTAAGTAGTAAAACAACACAAACGGGGCAAAAATGCGTTTTAAGTTTAGAAACATTTTGAGTCTCCCCTCCCTTGCTTTGGTCCAAATGCCTGCTTTCCTCTTTTTCACCTACACATACACACACACACACACGAGTCCGGTGAGGGAGAACAAAGTCAATAGTTGTGGAACTCCAAGGCTGTCAAGGCTATTTTATTCACTTAAACATCAGATGAAGTGATTATATTCTCTTTAATACAGATGATGCCAATGTATTTTTCGATCGATCGCTATGTTAGTAATAATAACTGCTTGACGAAAAGGGTTGCCAGGTTTTTTTACAACAAAACCCTCCCAATTGCTACCCAAAACTAGCCCAAACTAACCGCGATGATGCCAATGTATTTTTCGATGAGTCGCTATGTTAGTAATAATAACTGCTTGACGAAAAGGGTTGCCAGGTTTTTTTACAACAAAACCCTCCCAATTGCTACCCAAAACTAGCCCAAACTATCCGCGTTTCGAGGGGGTCCCCCGGTAAAAATCGCGTTCCGGGGGCTAAAATACACGTTATTGGGGTCGCTTCAACCCGCGGACATGGCAACACTGTGACGGATTCAACAGACACAAGCGACCACAACAGCCCCCCCCCACCAAGCTTCAGTCTGGATTCAGCCCTTACAAAGACCTGAGATGACCGAACACCTGAGAAGAGATGATGCCAACCCCTCAGAGGACCTCAGATGATGCCAACCCTCAGACAACATACAAAAACTACCAAATTTTGCTAAAATGGACATCAACTTGAGATAGTCACCACTGATAAGCTATTACTAAATATAATGTAGAATCTTTAATTTTCTGTAAAGCTGCTTTGCAACGATTTGCATCGTGAAAAGCGCTATACAAATAAACTTGAATTGAATATTTACACTAAGTGCAAATAGTCTGCCTTGTTGGCAAAGGCTATTTACACTAGCTCCGCCCACCAATGTGTGATTGCGATAGTCAACATCATGAAAGACGATCAAATATCCCTTCCAGTGGTGTAGAAGGTAAAGCACGTGTCGTCGTCTCTTTGATGAGATCGACCCTAGTTCAAATCCGCCTTTTGCTGAACATTTTTTCTCCCTTTTCAAATCTCATATCACATCAGAAAGGTATTTATTTTCAATAAAAATGAGGGAAATAACTGAAAAGTTGAAAATAAAGTAATGGGTAGGGTTAAGGTAGGTGTAGGGAGGCTTTATTGTCTCAATACCGCAGCGTCCATTTAATTATTTAAATTGAAATGATAATTTACACTAAATATGTTATCATTGCATACTGTTTTATAAATGTACTACTATACTGAGGTGCAGATAATTGCCACTATTTGCAATAAGTAGTATAAATAGCAGAAAATCCTGCTATTTTAACATAGTGTAAATAGAATCTATCGCTATTTGCATTTGGTGTAAATAGCATCTATCGCTAAGAAAATATGCTATTTTCACTTAGTGTAAATAACCTCTAATCGCTATAGCTGCTGCCTTAAATAAAAAAAACACACTAACTTTCACTACGTTTTGTGTAAGCACTGTGTAAACCTAAAATCCTTACAACAAATGGATACTGTCAAGATACTTTCACCAGAGTCTAAGATATTGGAGTAAGAGGACAATAATCTAGGTAAAGTGTGTATAACCATCAGATTTTTTTTCTGCTTCTCCCTCTGAAAAAATCGTGATTGTCTACAGCCCTGTGCTGTCCCACCATCCTTCCTCCTTGTCTGTTTCTCTTTTTTCTGTCTTGCTCTCTCTCCCTGGTGACATTTGTAGCGTGTCCTCACCGCTTGTATCCGCAGTGTTGCTCTGATCTGGGCTTCACCAGGAGCTCATTAGGTCAGGAGAACACAACATCACTTGCCGTGCAGTTACAGCTGACATACACACACGTCTACACAAACACATGCAGAATTCATGGGGAAAAATGGCAAAACATTCACCCATTTTAAAACAGAATATAACAGCAGGCAATATACAATAATATGTGCATGTTTAAAACACCAACACAGCGATATTAAAAAGCTTGTGAGGTAAATTCACTAGACAGTTGCACCACTTTTGCACCTGCGTCATCTTCACTAGCCACCTGTAATCCAGTTTAAAAAGGCGTTATCTGTGCTGGTTTAGCATTGCATCAGGTGTATTTAAATTAACTCATTGTCATTATTTTCAGCACAAACACACCTTCTTTCTATGCTAATTTAGATGCTATTATAGATGCTATCTGCCTGGTACAATTATGTGCTATTACAGCACATGGAAAGCAGTTGGCAAGGATGGCAAAAGTGTTAGTATTTCACAGGTAAACTTGCAAAAAGTGCTTGTATTTATGGTAGTACCAACTCAATTCGGACTGCTTTGAAACAGTGTCATGGTATTTGCACAGCCACTCTGTGACCGTTAATACTGAACTTCCTAAAAGAATGAGTGTGTTCAGTGGCATACTGTTTTTTGTTGTGGTATCAAAACTGGCATGGAGAATTGTGATATTTCCCTAGTACTTGTACCTTATTTGCATAATCCTGTAGTGAATCAGGTGCTAAAACAACGCAGTCAGCACGTGCACATAACTAACTGGATCAGTTGGTGCAATTGGACCAATTCTCACTATTAACTAGTTGCTTATTAGCATGCCTATTTTTAAAATATTGGCTGTTTATTAGTACTTACAAAGCACATATTCTGCATGTTTTTGTCAAACATATTTTACATCCCTAATCCTACCCAATACATAAACGTAACAACTACCTTACTAACTATTAATAAGCAGCAAGTTAGGAGTTTATTAAGGCAAATGTCATAGTTAAAAAATTAAAATTATGTCATTTATTACTCACCCTCATGTCATTCCAAACCCGTAAGACCTTCGTTCATCTTCAGAACACAAGTTAAGATATTTATGATGAATTCTGAGAGCTCTCTAACCCTCCATAGACAGCAAGGATCCTTACACGATCAAGGCTCAGAAACGTAGCAAGGACATCGTTAAAATAATCCATGTGACATCAGTGGTTCAACCGTAATCTTACAAAGCTACGAGAATACTTTTTGTGCACAAAGAAAACAAAAATAACGACTTTATTCAACAATTCGTCTCCTCTGTCACCCTGGTGCCATTTTGGAGAGTATCACATACGTAAACAAAATACGTATGCAACGTATGTACGCAGATACGTTGTTTACGTTCAGATCAAAGCGTAAACAATGTATCCGCGTATGGAGCTGCTGACACAGAACAGCATACGTTGTTTATGTATGTGATACTCTCCAAAATGGCGCTATAGGGTGACGCGGACGAGATGAATTGTTGAATAAAGTTGTGATTTATTATTTTCTTTGCGCACAAAAAGTATTCTCGTAGCTTTGTAAAATTACGGTTGAACCACTGATGTCACATGAATTATTTTAACGATGATGAATAAAGGTCTTACGGGTTTGGAACGACATGAGGGTGAGTAATTAATTTTCATTTTTGGGTGAACCATCCCTTTAATGGTTTGTTAAAGAGGTCATCGGATGCGACATGCACTTTCACAAGTTGTTTGAACTGAAATGTGTGTTGGCAGTGTGTGTACACAACCACCCTATAATGATAAAGATCCACCCAGTGTTTTTTTTTAATCGTTAAATCATTTCCCCTTTCTCAAATCGAGCTGATCTCAGATACCTGTCTGTGTGACGTCACACAGACAGGCCCCTCCCACGATAGTTTGATTACATTACAGACTAACTAAAGTTGAAAAAGTGAAAAAGTGAAAAAGCATAATAGGACCCCTTTAAGACCCTAAAGAATCATATCAACTTGTGGAAAATGGGCATCCGATGACCCCTTTAATAGCGAGAATTGGACCTTAAAGTGTGTAAAATAAAGTGTGGGTATTTTTCCCACCTTAAAGTGGGAAAAATAAAGTGTGACCATTTATTCTAAGTGAATGCTTTAAGAATGCAGATGTGTTTGTTCTGACTTACCCAGTAAGCACCACTACAAAGTCCATGACATTCCAGCCATTGCGTAGGTACGAGCCCTTGTGGAAGGCAAAGCCCAAAGCCAAGATCTTAATGCCTGACTCGAAACAGAAAATGCCGATGAAGTAGGGTTCGGTGTCCTCCTGTGAGAGAGAAACACAAAGGGAAGGACAAAGAGAATTAAGAGTGTGTAAACATGAATTAACCACTGGATTTCTGCAAAAGGAATGATACATCAGAGACCAATTAGTTCCTGTGTTTTCTGTTGAGGTACATGGCTTTAGGTATCACAATATACGGAAACAAACAAACACTGATCAACACAACCGGAACTCACCAAGCGCTCTGACATGGGTGTCTTGTCCCCGTCTGGAAGATGTTGTTCCAGGGCCAGGACGATGCAGTTAGCAATGATGGTAGCCAGGATCATGTACTCAAATGGAGTGAGAATCACAGGTCAAGGAAAACGTTTAAAACAACATGAATGTTACAACAGTTTTGCAAAGGACTGTAATTTACAGATGGCTGCTCAAGCTGACATTCCAGAAAACATATAATAATATAAATATAGTAATAAATATAACTTCATATTTAAAAACATAATATTAAATGATGAATACAATCTTGAAAAGGATCAGTTGTAAATTCAATTACTATTTTGTATTGTGGAATTTATGCATATATACATATACATACAAACATACATACATACATACATATTAGGCCTGGGCGATAAAACGGTATCGATATTTATCGACGGTACACCTTCTTCGATATCGATAGAAAAATTGTTCGATATAGCGCACGATATAGGCACGTGCTATGAGTGACGCAGACAGCACACACAAACATGAACACATGCTGAAATGATTGCTGTGCCTACCTGTGATGAGGAGATTGTGAATAAAGAATGAATATTTGCATTTGAATTTTAGGAGTGCGTCAGGGAGCGTCATCAGTAGCGCGCGAGATGTGGTGATGATGATATAAATGACGTTGTTGCATTTTAATGTTTTGTTAGTCTAGCCCACGAGACGCGCCGCTGCTGCGTTATTCATTCAAAATATTAGAGAAATATAGAAGCTCAATGCGGAGAAGATCTTGATTAGGTTAAAACCGAAACCAAGCCATTCACACAGAACGCATATTCAGCATATATTTTTATTATTTTATTACTGAGAAAATCACCTTTAAAGTTGTCCAAAAGAAGTTCTTAGCAATGCATATTACTAATCAGAAATTAAGTTTTGCTATATTTACGGTAGGAAATTTACAAAATATCTTCATGGAACATGATCTTTACTTAATATCCAAATGATTTTTGGCATAAAAGAAAAATC